TCAGCTAATGCTGCAGCAAAGAGAATAACAGAAACGGCTAAGTATTCTTCGTATTACTTGACTCGTTAGAGAATTATCCTTGCGTAGCAGGCATTTTAACCAAATTGTCGTTAAAAAGTCTTTTATTAAATGAGTGACTGTAACAAATGACTCAATCTCTTTAGATTCAGAAGAAAAAAGAGAGAAAAGACTGAGACTCTAACGATAATGATTACTGGCATCCGAAAAAACTTTTTCTGACTTAGCGTACAGGTATCCTTGCTAGATCCAGCGTACGACGTTCTATGAAACGGATACAAGAGCAGATGTCAACCAACACTTATTATCCGAGAATGCAGTGTTAAAAAACGGTTAGATGAAGTGACCAACAAGGTCGTATTAGATCTGTGACAGAAATCGCCGAGAGAAACGAGGGTCCAAATCAAATTGATTCATGCGCAGGTTAAAGTATGAACAAGTCTTTTTTTATTTACAAGTAATTATTAACTTCGTACTAGAATTTGTTTCAATAGGCCTTCATCAAGACTTGCGGCTAGAAGAAGGTTTGCACTGATTTGGTCTGCTCGACGCCACCTAATTTACCGATTGATTGAAATTGTCGATGAAGAACAAAAGCAATGATTGAAGTCTGGGTTCGCAATCTGACTGAAGAAAGGATTGTGACTTCCGATCTTAAGTTTTAAATCAACATCAAGGTTACGGCGCAATATTAGAAGAAATTCACAAAATCCTCAAATCATTAATTCCTTCTACACCTTCACAGCGTCATCTCTTTAGGCGATTTACAATATCACGTTTTCGAGGCTTATCAAGTCAGTCCGTGATGACTTAATGAACTCTTCAAGAAGTTAGAAATGTATTGTCCGAAAACATTATTAACTTGTATAATACTAATAAAGTAAGACAAAGTTGATAAAACTTTCCCCTACAAAGATTTCTAGAAATTTCCAGAATTTTTTCACTATCATAAAAAAAAAAATCTGCATCATCCAAATCGGGGAATATCTCTGACTGCAATAAACGTGGGAGCGTAACTTTTGCGTAACACAGATGTTCGATCAAATAAATTAGAAGGTTATGGAACTTTTCATGCACGATGTAATCGTGTGACCCTGCTGATTGTTACTGACTCGTGACATATGCATATCTACCCATAGGCCTGCGTGAGGTAATCACGTGATGATGACGTTTTGAGACCGTGACATCTTGATGGCTTTATCTGAAAAATAATGTTATCGGTCGGTTATTATCATTACCATGCCCTCCCCTCTAAACATGTCGTTAAACCCCTTCAAGTTCGTTCACGACAAAGGTATTTGTTCTTTTTTCTTAATAATTTTTTCCAATCGATTTCACACACACACACACATATATATATATATATATAGTGCAAGAAAAGAAACTTTGCAAACTTGCGAAAAAGTGTGGTACAGGTGGGTAGCAGTTAAATTATTTTTTGTTGATGTTATAAACCATTAATTGGTATTTTGTGTTAGCTCCTGAGAAGCTCCCTACGATTCTTCAAAATCCGGATATTGTCACTCTTGTTCTCAAATATTTAAAAATCAAAGATACCGACGACGAAATGCCCGCACTTTTATTCGATTGGAATCAGGCCGGCTTCAACGACACCAACGTCCCAAATTGTCGTAACGGTGTCGCAGGACAGACCCAAGGGGCTATAATCGCACACATCCTTGCAAACGGAACAACCGATGTTATGAATCTGAACACACTATTCATTTTTCGAAATGGTCAAGCAATTGGGGCTTGGAACAGGAATTTCTGTGTGGCTTTTCCTTGGTATGAGATAATTCTATATTTTATATTCTTTGACATCAGCTTAATCCATTACCCTTTCTTAAGGGCGAAACATCAAGCTGGTGTTCCAGATATCTGTAACAACATCTTAAGACTTAATAAGATTACGGCACACACAGCCAATGTCGATATCGAGGATTTTGGCAGCATCTTGTTATAAAGAAAAGAGAGGAGTAAGTATTTGTTTTGTTACTTTTTCTAAATCATTATGATTAATTTATCCCTTCAAACTGATACAAAAGAATATCCGGTCTCCTTCATTGTAGTTGTGCCAAAAATTGAATGAATTAATCCTTCTTGCAAGATTTTACGCTTCATGAGTACTTTGTGTCCAAAATAATAACATTGTGTGCGTTTTGTGTACATGATGTGTGATTCCGATATATATGAAAAAATAAATTGCGCTGTTAGCATTTTCGTGTAAATGCACTTACTTGGGCTCAAACTCGATATCTAGGGTGCTTTGTGTATTACTCGTCATTATTATTGCTTGCTTTTAAATCGACACCACGACCCAAGGCATTTTTATCTTTTTTTCTTGGCCAAAGTGATCTGCGTGACCAAAAGTCACGCACTCATTATTTCTATTTATTCAAACTTTTAAACATATGTGCATTTTGTATAAAAATGGTAAACACCAAAGTCGATACATTAGAAGAACAGAATTCCAAACTTATAGCTGAGATTGCCGAGCTTAGAAAGGAGAATGCGAAGCTAAAGCAGATTATCGAGGAGAATAAAAAGCGCGATGTTAGAATCGAGGAATTAGAGCAAAAGAATATAGAGCTTGAGACAAGGCTCGCTATATTAGAACAGGGAAAAGAAGCAAAAGTATTTCTATGACCTGCTATATCGTTATCTAAAAAAAGGACAATAGTTAGTTCCCCCCCCCCCCCAGTTTGTCCCTGAAGACCAAACTCAAACTAAAAAAAGAAAATCCCCTCAATCTTTTCTTGGATTAGGTACATTGCAATGGCTCTTCGAGCCTACGGAAGTCTCCAGTAAAATCTAACGATACTCTCAAACAAATAATGCTATAATGTGATGATACCCCGGTATCTGATATAATAGTCATTGGACATTGGAATTGACTTACCTGGACCGCTTCCATATCGATTCAAGACATTACCAAAAATAGGGTATGTCTAAGCGGAGCAGATTTCTCGCAATTCCATTGGTCAAATTTGTATGGCAGCCAATAAAGCGGTTTTAGACAGATCGGGTCCGTTTATTGGTTCAATGGCTCCGCCTGCGCTGCAAACGTTCAATGTTTATGTATCGGCATTCAAATGACGATTACGCGCGTCCATGCAACTAGAAATTTGTTCTTCACACTATAACAGAAAACGTGCTACAGGTTCTGAACGACACACTGAAACTTGAAACAGTCACTAAGTATTTCTGTGTCAAGCAGCAAACGCTCATGCAAGGCGTCGTTTGAGAGCGCTTTAACAAATTCTTTCAGTTTTTGGGATGACTGAACGAAAACAAAACACAGCCGTTTTGGGAGATGAGAGAAAGAAGATTCCCCAAGTAATATATGTCACGGATGATGCTGAAATCGGATGATGCTGAAACTCACGTGATGCATACTTATGTTATGTAATAAATAATAACG